GAATATTTTCCTAGTAGGATAAATAAGAGATTTGAATCAACAGGCACGAGCAAACTTGAAGCTAAAATACTAGGGATATTTCCATTAAAGTGAGGAAGGAACTAGAGAGAAGAGCTCTAACTGTTACTATCATATTCTTATAGACAATAGAAAACCACAAAGAAATAAGAAACACAACTAGAAGGAAACAGGAGAAAATCATTATCACCTGTAAAAGAAGTATTATCAAATCAGTTCAGACTATTAATACTAAGAAGTGATTAGTAAGGCTGCTGGTTATCTACTGATTGACATAGATTCTTTCCAAGTGGAAATGCTAATAAAGTATATTTAAAAGAAATTCACTAGGAAGTGAATTTCAGGTACTACAAAAGTAACACAGTGGCTTCAGAGTCACAAACTGTTGAGATTTATTTCCCTTAAAGTAAATTAAATCAAATCAGCTAGTAAAACCTTTCTAAGGGTTCTGATTTTTCAGGTGTGCCGCATGAGGACAGACACACACACAAATGTGCACACACACACACTCATTCAACCCACGCTGACTTCCTGTCAGCCCAGCAACCATGGCAGAACTAAAACCAGTTCAGAAAAAGGCTAATTAATATTTATTATTTTCCTCATGCTGTGAAAAGAAGAATATTGTGTTTCTTCTTAAAATATGCCCTTGAAATTTTAAAGAATTAACCATATGGAAGAGATCTCAGAGTGCGTAAGAAAGACTAAAGACATGGAATCCTAATTCAATTTCCCCTTGGATTTTACTAGGAGCCTGTAGCAACATTTAGTTTGAGAGAGATTCTCAGTAGGGAATTGAACAAAAGGCTATTGTGTGTTAAACATGGTGAGGCCTCTCGCCCCTCTACACTAACTTTTCAAACATCAGGTTGGAATTAAATGATTTTAAACTTTGAATCAACTATTTCCAGACCACAAAATCTATTCCACACTTATCGGTCAGCGTAAGTTCTCTGAGTTATAGCGAGTTCAACTGTGAAATCTGAATGTTTCAAGTGCTAATAAAAGAACTTTCCTTTAGACTTTGACCATCTACATACACTGACTTACTCAAGAATGCCATATGTTTCATTTCCTTCTCCAACAAAAATTTCCATCTGCATTTAATAAATCTGACTCAGTATCATATCACTCTACTATTTTCTTATCAAAGAGGAACTACAACTTGAAGTTAGTAAGAGTCAACGAAGGCAGTTGACAGGCCTGCCCTGATCATTATAAACGTCACTGCGTCTTCATTTGCACTGTGTGCTTCGTCATGGGACGGTTACGATATCAAAGGAAACAAGAGATCATCTGTGAGTAGTGGTGTGATTGCTTTAAAACATGTCCATAAATTCTTTGACATTTCTCCAATCGAAAGGTGGAGCGAGCCTCCTCGCTGCCAACACGGGCCAGCCTCCAGGACTTACTTCTACCAGAGAATGTAATGGGAGTGAGGCTGAAGGCTGCGGAGGCGAGGCCGTAGAAGCTGGTACGGCTCCCTCCCGGCTGCTCCCTGGGATGCTCCCCTGCAGAGCCCAGCCGTGCTGGCAGGAAGCCAAGCAGCCACACGGGGGAGCGCACGTCCTACTGACCAGCACGGTGAACGGAAAGAGCCTTTGGTGCCCGAGCTTGGAGCACCTCAGCGGACACTCTGCGGGGCAGAAACGAGGTGTTTTCCGCCAATCAGCCCAAACTGCAGGCTCACGGGCGAGTAACAGCCACCCCTGTTTCAAGCCACTAGGCTTTGGTGGTTTATTATACATTAACAGATAAATGGAACGTGCAGATTAGTCCAACCAAATTCGGCCGCCCATCCTACGCCTTTTATTTCAGCCCTAAGAAGACAGAACTGTCTGAAGTGTGAGAGCAAACAAGCACGCTGCGTGGCCCTGCACGGCTGGGCCCCCCGCACCGTGGGCCCTGGCGGCCCGCAGCTTCCCGGCGGGCAGTGTGCATCTCCGCCCAGCGCGCCAGAGCCCCTGGCCACTGCCTCTGTTCAGCCTCAGGCTCACTCCGATTTGAGAAGCCGCTTTCTTTAAACGCCTGGCTTATCAAACTGCTGCCACTGCACACGCTCCACTCTTTGAATCCATGAACAACTGAGATTTGCTTAAAAAGATAATTCTGACTCTACAGCTGGTGGCAAGTTGAAAATGTTCAGATAGAACCATTCAAATGGGTTACTGCCCAACCAAGCGACCACGTCCTGCTCCTTCTGAGGAGCCTGAGGAAGGGAAGCACCTAAGACAACAACAGGATTCTGCTCTCAGAAACACAGACCAGAAAGGTTAATGTACAGGGGACCTTGGAGGACCTGGCCTAGGATTTTTCAATCAGTGGGATACTGACATAATCCAAGAAAGTTTTCACAATATAAGTACCAGGAATTTTTACCTCACTCCATCTTCACTGAAAGGTCAACCTGCCACAATATCATGGCAATTTTAAACTTTGATCGTTTGTATTTTATAAAACAAAAAATGTAAAATACAAACAAAACATACAAAATAGTCTTTTTCTATTTTACAAACTAAAGCAATAAAGTGCACTCCATGCAATGCTACTCAGAGTTCTGTCCCTTAAGTTTAGGATGCATGATAACATGACAATATATGATAAATATGATAAAGTACTAGGAATCCAGTCTTCTTAGACCAAAATCTAAGCTAGCTGCTCTACATCTGCCATAAGAAATGTTAGTAATCGTTGCTCTGGTCCAAATTATTTGAAAAAACTAAAGTTCTGAAAGGTTATGCCAAGTGCCCTGAGGCCATATCACTAGTTAATGGCAAAGCTGTGACCAGGATGTTGGTACCCTTGTGCTTTTTAGGAATGCACAGGGCTCAGTTAGATCTGGGTCAGAAGGCAAACAACTGCTGCTATGTCTCATCAGAAGGCGGGCCGAAGTCGGCAGGGCTCAGACCCCTCAGTGCGGTACTCATTCAATGGGCTGTCCTCCTCCTCAGTGTGACAAGTAGAACCTTCATGAAGGGGCCCAGGCACTGCGAGCACATGTGGAGGGCCACGGCTGGCAGGAGGAACGGCTATTCAAAGCCGTCTGCAAGTCAGCATCTCTTGCCGTAACTGTAGAGGCTGCCAGAGTAAAGCCCTCACCCCTGGCCTCCACTGCACGAGGGGCGGCTGCAGGACAGCACGGGAAAGGAGAATATATCTACAGAAGTCACTGCAAGGTGCTATGTTCCCAATGAAAACAGTGCCTTTGGCTTCCGTACCCTCTACCTGCCATACGGACGTGATTCCCAGGGATGCACAGCCATCCTGGTTCCAACGGGACAGAAGCCACATGTTGAGGACAGCACACAGGCGGACAAAAGGAACCTGACTCCCTGATGACGCGGAGAGCCATCACAGTGGCCCTGGACTGCCTGTCTATCCGTGGGCTTCCTGTCGAGTAAGCCGAAGACTATGGTTGGTTACCTGCAGCCAAACACAATCCTGACTCTGATATGAAATCAATCTGGCTTTTCCTCCCTAATTCATTTTGTCCAAACTGGTGTGTCCATCTGTCTTATTTTTACAGCTAACTTTGGTAACCACATGTTCAGTCACCTTCAATCTCCCCAACTCCTACAACCATCCCACGATTACTTTAAGATATCAGAAACGAGAATGAGGCAGATGCGTATTCTCCGAGGGGAAGGGCGTTTTAAGTAGGGCTTCTGCAGCAGCCGGCACAGTCCGGGCTGCTTTGGGAGGTAAACGAGAGAGATGGTTTCCTTCCTTATAAACCACCTAAACTCAACCCTGGACAACGTATGGAAATCCAGAAACAGAAAGAAGGAAACCAGAAACGACGGTATGTCGAGTTCCCAACCTCATCGGGCAAGAGCACCGACACTGGGCTTTGACTGGAGGAGGCACTACAGAGCCATTCACTCAACAAATAACCTTTTCTTTCGCTTGAGCACTGTGTTGGAGATTCTGCACCTCACCTTCCATTTAAGAAAGCAAAATGGGCTGATTTTGAGCAATACCGTAATCCCAAGCAGGCTTATTAACAAAAATCTGGTCTTTGCACTCTTCTTCCTACGTCCTTCCTAATAAAGTACTTTGTTGGCCGTAGCAGCTCATAAGGTCCCACCAGTTTCCAAGGGATGAAGAAGAACGGGCAACACTGATAGGAAGCAGGAATTCTACTAATCTCATGCCAAAAATAAAGACAAGAATGTATCTCTGCAAGGGAGTGGCAAAATGCTTTGGCAAATTTCTTGGACTTAAATTCACAAAGTCCAGATAAGTCAACAGATGCTCCAGGCCAATAGTCTACCATTTCTCTAAAACACACAGGAACCCCCGGCCCCAGCAACCACCCAACAGAACAACAGTTACTTAGAACAACAGTTCCACAGCTGAGAAGGCCTCTAAGGGTTCCAAAGGCGGCGTTACTGCGGGCCACAGCGTCCCCCAGCACCCTTGGCGCCTGTGGCAACCCCAGGAGACCCTCAATCTCAGGCGTCACGGCTGCACCAAGGACCTCAGACAGTAAGTTCCACACACAAGGAGCAGAAGCCAACCACGTGATAAACACTAGGAAAATGAGGAACAGTATTTGTGGATACAAACTGATGAACTACTATTAGTAAAGCAGCATTCAATGGATAAAAACTATCAGCGGACTGTAAGTGAGTTAAATAGACCTTTGCATCAGAACAGTCCAGTAACTGATAACCAGAATGTCGTCACCTGGACTGACTGACTTTTACACGAGCAGGAGCTCTCCTTGCTCCCAAATGGACCCCAGCCCGGGACAGAGCCGTGGCAGGTCACTGCAGCAGCACTCTTCAAAAGCAGAGCCCTCCTCACCCACGGCAGGTTAGTGGTCTACATGCCAACTGCCCAAACGCACCGAGGTAACGTCTAAGGGCACCTGACAAAAAGACCAGACAGGAGACAGCAGTCGCTCCCTTCAAAGAGCTCAGAAGCCCGTGTGATGGCACACACACTCAGTGACCCAAGTGGCAGACAGCACCGCCTACCCAGCACGTTCCCGGGGGGCACTTCCTCTAGGTCTTCCAGCTCCCTTCCCATCAGAAGATACAGGCTCTCCAGAGTACAGCAGGCCATGTGGGGCACTGGGGGGAGGTCGTCCAGCGGGGCCGAGAAGCCTGATGGCACCTGGGCAAAGAAAAATGAGTGGAGACAACTCAGGAGGCGCTAAGGAAAACATCAGTTAATATGTACACAGTAATTTCTATTCAGGAGATAAGGTACAGTCATACTTCACGCAAACCTGAAATATGCACATTTAAAATGGTCTGATATAAATGTCTCTCATGAATAAAATCTGAAATAGTGAAACCTCTCATATATTCTGAAATTGTCAAGAATTCCACATAATCATAAGCTGTATGGCCAAGTAATATAAATTCTCTTGTGATCTTGCAGCACCCTTTAGCTGATAAACAAAACCCCCCCAGTCCTTGCGAGCATTTATGTGAACTACGTTCACACACCAGTTCTGGTGACCAGTGCACCACTACTTCAAAACTCATTATTACTATTATCACTTACAATCACTTTAATCTTATTATGATGTTCTTTAAGCATTCAGTAAAGGCAGATGCTAGTGATAAGTAACATGAAAATCAGTAACTTTGGAAGAGTAGTCAGACGTAATGAAAGTGCATGAAAATGGCTGAGCTGCCATTATATGCGATCTTGTTCATCTGGAAGAGAGCACACTGTGAGATACTGGGGCCCTGACGAAGAGCAAAAATATGCTGTGCGGATAATACATTTATGAGCCCCCTCTACATATTTATTATTTTTTAAGAGATAGTTTCAAATTTTTCAAGTTTTATCAAAAAATACTCAACATCTTGGAAAGTACTTAAGATACTACCTTGAATTATTCAGTGACCTCCATATAAATGCAAGTACCCAGTAAGCATTACGATCACTAACTTACCTCTGGTACCTAGAGACCTAAGACCCTGCTAGTGCTAGTTATGATGGAGAGAAAAGGTTAAGATAAAACATATGCAAAATAGCTAACATCGCAAACACAGAGTGAATGACGAGAGACCAGTACTGGCGAAGGAAATGGGTAAAAGCTCAGAAGAGGGAAAAACCCTTATGTTTGGGTAGATTTAGAAACGCCACACCAATGACAGCCTTTCAGGCACAGGCTATATTTAAATGTACATGTTCTAACTCAGTAACAATTCTGCAGAGTAGCTCTAATGATAGTTTAGAAAGAAATAAAAAATTGAAGCATTAAGTAGGAAAAAATTTCAGAATTTTCCACAAACAATAGGATCATCCCCTTAAAACTAGATAAGTGATAATTAGTAAGTTTACTTTAGCAAGGTGGCTAGACATAAGACAATACAAAAAAGTTAACTGTATGCCTATAGCTCAGCAATAGAAAATAACATTTTTTAAAACAAACTTTTAGAATAGCAACAAAATACAAGATAGCTAGGACTAAGTCTAACAAGTGATAAAATAACTTTATGAAGAAAATTATAAAACTTCAATGAAAACATTTAAAATAGCCTAAATAAATGGAGAGATATACCTAGTATTCATGGATGAAAGATTCTGTAATGTAAAATGTTAATTCAAGCCAGATACATGAGCTGATTTAAAGCAGTAACAACCAGGGTCCCAGCGGGGCTTATCATGGTGCCTGACAAGCTGACAATAAACTCTGTATGAGAGAGTAAAGAGTTAGGAATAAACAAGACACTCAAAAAGAAAAACAAGGCAGAAGGACTTAGTCTTTTAGATGTCAAAACATTTAGAAATGAATACAGCACTGAATAGAGACAGCGACAGATAAACAGAAAAAAAATGAGTCCAATGGTCCAGAAACAGACGAATTCACAGATGAAATCTGATGTGCAACAATCAGCAAAGCAGATTAGTAGAGGTGGACTATTCAATGAATGGTGTGGGAACAACTGACTCTCTGTATGGGAGCAAAAATGAAATTCAGTGTTCATATCATATGTGAACACTGAATTAAACATTTAAACATGAAAAGCAAAACATTAAACATTAGAAGGAAACATTGAAGAAATGTTTCCCTTCGGGGTAGTCATAAATTTAATTTTCTTAAGCAAGACACAAAAAGCAAAATCTGTCATGGAAAAGACTGATGAGTCCACTACGTTAAAATTGCGAACTTCCATTCACTAAAAGATACTAAACAGAAAGTGTGGCAAGACCCAAACTGGAGAAGAAATTTGCAAACCTTAAAATTGACAAGGAATTAATACCCAGAATATACAAAGGATATCTAGAAACCAATATTAAAAAATACATATGCACAACAGAAAAACAGGTAAATAACCCAAAGAGATACCTTCACAGGGAAGAACATGAATGACCAATAAGCACATTAAAAGGAAAATGTTAAGTTAAAACTTCATCAAAAGATCATATTATACCCATCAGATTGAGAAAACTTAAAAGCCTGATAAGAGAAAATTTTGGTGAGAATGTGGAACAACTGCAATGGTTGAACACTCTTGCTGGGAATGTGAATCAGAACTACTCGGAGGACAATCTGGGATTAACCAGTTAAGCTGTTAAAATACACATACTTCAATCCCAGGCAATTCCATTATGGGTATATTGGCTAGAATTTCTTGCAAATGTGCTCAGAGAAAAATATGTACAAAAACATGTAAGGTAGCATCATCTAGATTAGCAAAAAATGAAAGCAGCCAAAATATAGTGACAGGAAAATGGATAAGTGTAGAACATTATGCAGCAGAGAATAAGCAATGAACTACAGGAATAGGCATCAACATAGATTGCACCGTGTTAGGTAAAAAAAGAGCAAGTTGTAGAAGAATAACTACAGTACAATGTCACTTATACAAAGTTCAAAACCGGTATATTCTTTCGTGATGCACATACAGGCTGCAAACAGTAAGAAAGGCGACAGAAGGGTGAAGCAACCAGGCTGAAGGTGGTTCTCCTACGACCCCCGCTTCCTGGTGTTCGCGCTTGTGTGATTCCTCCCCCGAGCGGGGGGCCTGTAACCTGCTTCTCACCAACGGGATATGGCGAGGGCGACGGGATGTCTCTCATGATCATTTAACATCACGCAAGCCTCTGTCTTGCTAGTAAATTCGCTCTAGATTCTCCTCACTGGCTTGAAGGAAGAAGCAGGCGCATTGGGAAAATCCCCATGATGAGAACTGCAGACAGCCTCCAGGAGCCAATGGGCAGAAAGCATCTGGAGCCCTTGGTCCTGCAGGACAAGGGCATGAATTCTGCCAACAACCTAAGAAAACCTGGAGGCAGATCCTTTCCCAGGTAAGCCTCCGATGAGAACATGACCTGGTCAACACTCCAGCTGCAGCTCTGTGAGACACTAAGCAGGACCAGCTACACTGTGCTTGGACGCCTAACCCACAGAAACTGTGAGATGATAAAATGTGTAATTTGCCAAATTTGTGATAACCTGTAATATGTAGCAATAGGAAAATAATACAAAGGAGAAACACAAAAGACCAGGGAGAATTTACCTCTAGAGTATGTCTGAAATATTTCACATTTTTTTAAAAAGCAGGCTGGAATTAGATTTTATAGGGCTGCAACTACTGAAATGAGCCATTTGTGCTGCCCATCATTTTATCACTGCTCCTGCCTCATGTGACACATAAGCAGCTGATTCCAACCTCCACCCCATGACAGCAAAGATACATGATGCACAGGAGACAAACTGCAGTGCTCACAGAATTTGTGATGCCAAAAAAAATCAGAGTTGCATTAAATAACAATTTCTTACTCATCTTGACAGTTTAGAGTAAAAAAACAGAAAAATATTTACCAATACTTGACCCTTACTGATAACTAACAAGCTACCAACTATGTCTAAACCAAGATGTTAAGATGGTCACAAGGGGCTTTTGCTGGGGGCCGTGAGAGTGCTCAGCCTCCCCTAAACCGTGACCCTGTGCACACCAAATCGCTGGGACCTCCAAGGATTAAGCTGCTCAACGGACAGAGTGATGAGCATGCGAAGCAGGGCAGCGACTTCCTCCAGCTGCCACCTCCTCTCTCTCCCTTCGTCTCTCAAGTACATGACCTTTCCTGGTTTATGTGCAAGGAGAGAAGCCTGTGTTCTCGGCTCATGATGCTGCCCATCTTACAAGTTCCTAATGTACTGCTCCTTGCTGAGCCCCACTGGTTCCCTGGGCGTCTGGCATCTCTGACATATTATGACCTTTATTATTTAATAATTACACACACACACACACACTGCCATTGTCCAAAAATGTTCTGCGATGACTCTAAGCCTGTGGCTTCTTTCTCGCCCTGTAGCCCAGGTGTGTTTAGACGCTGGTCGTCCACCTACTCACAGACCCTCCCGGCCCGTTTCTGGGATGGGTCTGCCACGCCACTGCTGCCCAGCACCCACTTATTGCACATGCCCTCGGCCTGCACCACCTAGTTTGGGAATCTCCGTACCCCTGGAAGATCTGCCACTGCCCTGGCTCCAGCATGGCATTTCTTCTCTCCAGTTCTTTCATCTAGCCTTGAAGAAAAAAACCTTATAATTAATTAAGGCCTGAAAACTTGGCTATATACTGGGTTAATTTCTTAAAAGCTACGAAGTGAGACAGATTTACCAAATGTCACCAAAGCAATGCAAGAGATACATGGATTCATCTGAATGTGCCTTTATAGCTAAATCTACCAACAAATAACCACCAATTTGGAATCTGGAAATCACTCAACCAATCTGAAAAGACACCATAACTTGCAAACAATATACTGATGTTTTACCCCAATTCTTACCCGCTGCAGAAACTCAACAGGACTGTATTTGGGCCCCAAGACAAAAATTTTCTTCCCTCTTCGAGCCACGCCACTGAACACTCGAGCAAATGCGATAAAAGACTCTTGGTTGGTTTCCTCCTGGGGCACAGGTTTAGGGGCCCCACTGCCCCCCTGATGCTCATCACCTGCCAAGAACAAAAGGCCAGTGAGTACCAAGAATGTTCTCTCCGCTCTAGGACAGACTAGAGACACGGGGGGGGGTGGTGTGCACGTGATACATCTGGCCCAATGTCAGGAAAGAAGTGCCACGAATGAAGGAATATTGCCAAGAGCTACAGGTAAAGCTAAAAGCCCAAGAACTGAAGGCCGAACACCCCAAGTCTAGCGAGGCTTTGCAGCAAAGCCTTTTCAGGAAGCTGTACCTTCCGGCTCTTCTCCCGTGGGACTTGCTTGAAGGGCTCTCCCACCCTGGGCGGGCTCCAAGGGTGCCTTCCCCTGCACGGCTGTGAGCTTCTCCGCGTGCCTCTGTCTTGCACGCTCACGCCTCTGAGCAATTTCTTCTTGAGTGAGAGGTCTACGGGACATCACACATGTGTCACCATGGAGCACCTCCAAGCAGCTCAGTCCACTAATGCAGGACACAGCCAGTGCTAACAGGCTGGAGAAGCCAGCGATGGGCCCCAGGGCCCTCTCGGGCAGCCTCCTCCCCCAGCTGGAACAGGAGAGAACTCCTAGCAGGCTTTCTCTGGGAACGCATGTTCCCAGCTGTTCTGAGCTTAAGAAATGACATGCGAGAGCCCCCGTGCCCAAAGAGAGCCACACACAGTGGCATGGAACCTTTCTCAGATACCTGTGATCCTTCAGAACAAGGCAAAAGGACAGGGGAAGGAGGGAACATGTACCGACCAGGGCTCAGAACACCGCCCTGAGAAACAAGCATGAGGCCTCTAGGAGAATTAGTTTCCTCCACAAGTACAAAAAGGTTTCTTCATGCAGAACTGGGGTCCAAGAGGCAGGGTTCAGGGTCAGGATGAATGCTCGCGACTCAGCAGGACTACCGGGTCAAATGATCATCAGCCAGTGTGTCGGCCCCAAGTGCCACCACAGAAGAGGCAGCATGTGACCATGTGAGCGCGTCTGCTGGGGGCTGGGTGGCGGTGAGGGAGGGTGGCAATCAAGCTGTTTTTCCTAATGAGTTACCTTGTTTGCCAGGCCACAAGATGGGCAGTTACGAGTTTTTAATAACAAAAAGTTCCTACAAAAGGGGAGCAATAAACTGAATAAAAATGGGCTTCTGTTTGGGTGCTCAGGTTGGCAAGGCAGAAAACCAGGCAGGTTCACTAACTCCCAGGACCTGGCTACTTCCCCAAGTGTGGGCCTTCGCGAACCGCCTGCAGCAGGAACCCCAAGAGCAAGACCGGTGCTGTCTGCAGTCGGCAGGACCGGAGCGAACTGAATTTGGCTCTGAGCTCTGGGGCCCGGCATCAGGACACTCCGGCCCCTGCTCAAGCCCTACCTGATGCGCCCGCCCTGGGAGCTGCGCCACTCTGCCCGGCCCTGTCGCCTTCCCCTCGCTCCCCTTCAGCACTGGAACCCATCAGACGGCCACTCAGATGTGCACGGTCCACATGCCCTCAAATCAGAGTTGCATTAAATAACAATTTCTTACTCATCTTGACAGTTTAGAGTAAAAAAACAGAAAAATATTTACCAATACTTGACCCTTACTGATAACTAACAAGCTACCAACTATGTCTAAACCAAGATGTTAAGATGGTCACAAGGGGCTTTTGCTGGGGGCCGTGAGAGTGCTCAGCCTCCCCTAAACCGTGACCCTGTGCACACCAAATCGCTGGGACCTCCAAGGATTAAGCTGCTCAACGGACAGAGTGATGAGCATGCGAAGCAGGGCAGCGACTTCCTCCAGCTGCCACCTCCTCTCTCTCCCTTCGTCTCTCAAGTACATGACCTTTCCTGGTTTATGTGCAAGGAGAGAAGCCTGTGTTCTCGGCTCATGATGCTGCCCATCTTACAAGTTCCTAATGTACTGCTCCTTGCTGAGCCCCACTGGTTCCCTGGGCGTCTGGCATCTCTGACATATTATGACCTTTATTATTTAATAATTACACACACACACACACACTGCCATTGTCCAAAAATGTTCTGCGATGACTCTAAGCCTGTGGCTTCTTTCTCGCCCTGTAGCCCAGGTGTGTTTAGACGCTGGTCGTCCACCTACTCACAGACCCTCCCGGCCCGTTTCTGGGATGGGTCTGCCACGCCACTGCTGCCCAGCACCCACTTATTGCACATGCCCTCGGCCTGCACCACCTAGTTTGGGAATCTCCGTACCCCTGGAAGATCTGCCACTGCCCTGGCTCCAGCATGGCATTTCTTCTCTCCAGTTCTTTCATCTAGCCTTGAAGAAAAAAACCTTATAATTAATTAAGGCCTGAAAACTTGGCTATATACTGGGTTAATTTCTTAAAAGCTACGAAGTGAGACAGATTTACCAAATGTCACCAAAGCAATGCAAGAGATACATGGATTCATCTGAATGTGCCTTTATAGCTAAATCTACCAACAAATAACCACCAATTTGGAATCTGGAAATCACTCAACCAATCTGAAAAGACACCATAACTTGCAAACAATATACTGATGTTTTACCCCAATTCTTACCCGCTGCAGAAACTCAACAGGACTGTATTTGGGCCCCAAGACAAAAATTTTCTTCCCTCTTCGAGCCACGCCACTGAACACTCGAGCAAATGCGATAAAAGACTCTTGGTTGGTTTCCTCCTGGGGCACAGGTTTAGGGGCCCCACTGCCCCCCTGATGCTCATCACCTGCCAAGAACAAAAGGCCAGTGAGTACCAAGAATGTTCTCTCCGCTCTAGGACAGACTAGAGACACGGGGGGGGGTGGTGTGCACGTGATACATCTGGCCCAATGTCAGGAAAGAAGTGCCACGAATGAAGGAATATTGCCAAGAGCTACAGGTAAAGCTAAAAGCCCAAGAACTGAAGGCCGAACACCCCAAGTCTAGCGAGGCTTTGCAGCAAAGCCTTTTCAGGAAGCTGTACCTTCCGGCTCTTCTCCCGTGGGACTTGCTTGAAGGGCTCTCCCACCCTGGGCGGGCTCCAAGGGTGCCTTCCCCTGCACGGCTGTGAGCTTCTCCGCGTGCCTCTGTCTTGCACGCTCACGCCTCTGAGCAATTTCTTCTTGAGTGAGAGGTCTACGGGACATCACACATGTGTCACCATGGAGCACCTCCAAGCAGCTCAGTCCACTAATGCAGGACACAGCCAGTGCTAACAGGCTGGAGAAGCCAGCGATGGGCCCCAGGGCCCTCTCGGGCAGCCTCCTCCCCCAGCTGGAACAGGAGAGAACTCCTAGCAGGCTTTCTCTGGGAACGCATGTTCCCAGCTGTTCTGAGCTTAAGAAATGACATGCGAGAGCCCCCGTGCCCAAAGAGAGCCACACACAGTGGCATGGAACCTTTCTCAGATACCTGTGATCCTTCAGAACAAGGCAAAAGGACAGGGGAAGGAGGGAACATGTACCGACCAGGGCTCAGAACACCGCCCTGAGAAACAAGCATGAGGCCTCTAGGAGAATTAGTTTCCTCCACAAGTACAAAAAGGTTTCTTCATGCAGAACTGGGGTCCAAGAGGCAGGGTTCAGGGTCAGGATGAATGCTCGCGACTCAGCAGGACTACCGGGTCAAATGATCATCAGCCAGTGTGTCGGCCCCAAGTGCCACCACAGAAGAGGCAGCATGTGACCATGTGAGCGCGTCTGCTGGGGGCTGGGTGGCGGTGAGGGAGGGTGGCAATCAAGCTGTTTTTCCTAATGAGTTACCTTGTTTGCCAGGCCACAAGATGGGCAGTTACGAGTTTTTAATAACAAAAAGTTCCTACAAAAGGGGAGCAATAAACTGAATAAAAATGGGCTTCTGTTTGGGTGCTCAGGTTGGCAAGGCAGAAAACCAGGCAGGTTCACTAACTCCCAGGACCTGGCTACTTCCCCAAGTGTGGGCCTTCGCGAACCGCCTGCAGCAGGAACCCCAAGAGCAAGACCGGCGCTGTCTGCAGTCGGCAGGACCGGAGCGAACTGAATTTGGCTCTGAGCTCTGGGGCCCGGCATCAGGACACTCCGGCCCCTGCTCAAGCCCTACCTGATGCGCCCGCCCTGGGAGCTGCGCCACTCTGCCCGGCCCTGTCGCCTTCCCCTCGCTCCCCTTCAGCACTGGAACCCATCAGACGGCCACTCAGATGTGCACGGTCCACATGCCCTCCAAGTACTCCGGGAGCCCCTGCTGCCCAGTGTCCCGAAGCCGCCTCCTCCTTTTACTTCCTGCAGCTGCCCCGGACGACGACTGCTTCAGCCCGACTGCCCACTGCTCCGTTCCTCAGACCCTAGCTGCTGGACAAGGGCTGGACACTAGCTCTCCCGCCCTCAGCACCTGCCCCTCAGTTCTGCCCCTCAGGGCTGGTCACCTCCTGTGGGAGACAGGGCTGGGCCACAGGACACAAGGATATGAGAGACCAACCTTGGAGCACAGCTGGGTCAGGTGCCACAGGGAACAAGCGCCTCTTCCGGGAGGCTCCAAACCTCAGACGGCCTTTCCACCAGGAGGCGGCCTCTGACCTCGTGGCCGCTAGCCACAGCCGCGCTGTCCTCTGCAGCAGCGGCAGCACCTACATCCCTCCTCTGCCCTCGGACAGCACACGCCTCCCTCCCTCCCTGCTCTGGTCTGGGCTCAGCGCCCCAGCCGGCCCTTCAGCCAACCCTTACACAGCTCACCTCATCTAGACTTTTGCCAGAACCTCTATAATACCTGAAAAGTGTGAATTAAAATAAAAATGCAGAAGACATTATTATTATGAGAACGGGAAGGAAAAAATACCTGAGGCACTAGTTAGCACACAGGGAAACAGTCTCTCCCGGTGGGCTTGGAACTACGATCCAGACTTTGTGCTGATCGCTGCACAGATACTATAGCATATATTTATCACAACGATGAAATGAAACAGATATTATTACTCCTATTTTACAGATGAGCAAGCAGAAGCTTAGGAAATTTAAGTAACTTGACCCAAAGTCATCCACACAATAAATGAAAGAGCCATCAATCCAATCCAGGTATGACTTCAGACTCTACACTCACTATCACCAGGGTATGTCTCCCATTCAGAAGGAATTAAAAATGACAAAATCATTGTGATACTAAGTAAAGATGTTTTAATCTAACTATGGTTAAGAAAATAGCATATTCATTCACATGTGAGATCCCCATTCTGCCCAAGTTCATGACAAGACCTGGAAAAATTAGCATTTATATTCACTAAGTTAGCATCGAATGTACAGTGGCTTGCTATCCGTCTACCCAGTCTCCTTCCCCAGCTCCTTACCTTGGCTTATTCTGAGGCAAAGCCTTAGCGTCCACGGCAAACATTTTGGAAACAAAGATAATAACAGGAGCAGTATCTTCACTTCCACATTTCATAAAAGCTACACAAACAGGAGGGAAAAATGTCACTATCTTTTCACCATTATTAGACAGCCAGATTTTTCTGAAAAACGAGATGTTTAAAATATGACACCATCTAAATATGTAAGCAGCCTAGACATACAGGCTTTTACAATAAAAATGCCACGTAGAAAAGTATAAAACTGCTAGAAAAGCAAGAGCAAGTGGAGTCGGCAGAATGAGGAAAGGAAAAGCCAACTGATGGTGGTGGGAGGAGGGCAGGGGCTCCTGCAGAGGCAGGGCCAGCAGGGGGTGAGCCCCCTGTGAGCTGGCACGTTGCTGCCTGCAGTCAGTGAGGTGGGGCTGAGGGATGGTACCAAATGCCAACAGTTGACAAGGTAACTTATAAGTAAAACACATAAAAATCAATAGCTTTTTCAGTTCCCCACAAGGCAAGTTAGAAAATAAAAGTTAGAAATAGTTTGCCATGACACTAACAAAAAAATCTTAATAAATTAGGATCCAATACAAAGATGCCAATTTTCCCTAAATCTACCAATTTTAACACAATTTCATATCAACATATTGATGTTTTTTCTTAATCTCCATTGGTGGTACAAAACCAATGGTAGTAATTTTGTTAAAAAAAACCACCCCACATCAAAATAATCTGTATGTAAATTAAAGAATTCAACAGCAAAATTAGAATAATACACTACAGGAGGTAAGAATCAAATCTTATCAGAAGTGTTGCCTGGGAAACTCCTGGAAGAGCCACCATGCCCAGACTCGCACCTTACCAGGAGCCTGGCGCTGGCTGCAGGGCTGAGAACACCACCGGGGGGCGGGAGCAGGGGAGCCAGCTGGGAACCATTATGATGACCCGGGGAGAGGTCACGGTCGCCGGGCCCAGGAGGGTAGCAGGGGAAATGTGGAGAAGTAGGCGAGTTCTGGACGTATTTCAAAGGATTTGCCAATGGACCGGGTGCAGAAGTGAGATAAATGCAAGAGCCACGGATGGCGCCAGGATTTCTGGGCCGAGGAGAGAATGGACGGATACGGTCAGACCGAGATGCTCCCTGAAGAGCTGTGTGGAGAGGGGAGCGTGCGGCTGGCGTGGGGAGAGTCGAGGAGGATCTGCACTGGAGGTACAGCCGGGGGAATCACGCGCACACTGCTGTCACACAAAGCCTGAGACTGGACAAGGTCACCGGGTGAGTGAATGCAGGCAAAACACAGAGGAAGTCCAGAGACTGAGCCCGGCTCGGGCACCACACAGCTTCCAGCTAAGGGAGGCGGAGAGGAAGCAGAAAGAGAGGGCAGGAGACAGAGGAGCAGAAGCCCGTGGGGGCCTGGGGCCAAGGGGAAGGGGGAGGTTCAAGGAGGGAGGGGCGGCCAACTGCGTCAAGCGCCAGTGACAGACCTGCTTAGCGACTTGACAAAGGACAGTCAACAGTGGCCCCGAGAACAGGGGCAGGGTGGTATGGGGGGTGGACCGGGGGAAAAGTGGGGACAGGGAGTGTGTACAGGTGGATGTCACGGGGCCCTGCAGGGCCTGGAGCGCGGGGCCCCCTCTCAGGAAGGGTGTACATGGGGCTACCGGGAGCGGCCCCGGCCCGGGACTCCTCTTCCACAGTCCGAGGGACGCAGCTGTGGCAGTGACGCAGCAGTTCAGGACACGGTCCTGGCTGCTCAGGACGACGGACTATTACATCATCACAAGATCAGGCAAGGAGACCACGACAGAAGGAAGGAGTCTCAGAGTCTTCACTCTGACCCCCTGGCAGGGCAAACAGCTAGGGCAAAATGGAAACTTTGAGGAATAAAAAAAAAAACAAAAAACTGGTGAAATGCTCATTTGTGAAATTGTTTATCTGTGTGGAGTTGGCCATTTGGCAAATACTGGCATCCAGAAAATCGGTCTAGGGCAGCTCTAAGGACACAAACCCTGTACATGCCCTGTTCACCTTTTCCTCACCTGCTTTCAGCGCCTGCGTTTCTGGTGGGAGAGAGTCAAACGCCCGTGACCCTGCGCACATCAGTCTCTCCACTCGCTCGGCTGTGACATCGAGGGGACTGGGAAGCTTCTGACACACCATAGCTGAAGTCAGCTGTTAAGGACTCAAAACCCTGAGAGCAGGCCCTCCCCCCAGGCAGATACACAACACACGGACACTGAGGCAGCGAGGTATGTCCATGCAGAGAACGCCCCGGCTCTAAGGCACGTTCCTTTACACGGCCTATCTCAAAATATGGGCACAGTTTCAGGAGTTCATGGACTCTGAAGCCCAGACAGGATTCTTACAATAGGTGGTCTGAAATACTGATGGCCCATGTAACAGGCGAGAACACCAGAGCTTAGCAGGTTGGCTACCTGTGACCTATGTCTGAAAAATTTTTCATATGGTTTCAGTATATATAAACTTTTATAAAATAACCACCAGCCACCAGCTATGGTACAAGGAAGTCCCGTGCCAGAGCCAGTGTCACTGTAGGGGTATGTGTCCATCCCAGCTCCGGGTGGAGACACCGCTGCTGGTCTACTCCAAGGACACGGCACCACCACAGAGGTGCTGCTTGGTGAACGATTAATGATTCATCTATAAAATAAATCGATGAAACATTTTTGGAATCAGTAGCATGATAGTAAATATCAAGCTGAAGAAATTATGGTACTAAAAATGAAGCAATGACCTGACACAAACATCTAAATTTCTACTACATATAAATCCTGAACAAAAAAAACACCTTAAAAACATTCACTTGGATGGGTATGAATACTAATTAGTATTAGTACATTAATTTTTTAAGTATTAAATACAGTCTCATGGCAGAACACAACATCACCACCCAAGATGTGGGCTGGACTGGAACGAGTTGTGACCTGAGGGTTTCCCAGTTCCGGGGAACATGCTTCCTTTGGTTTTGTCAAAACTATGACGTCATTAAGAACCATTAACAAAGGATACCAAGGACAGCATGGGAAATGGGGAGCCACTGACTGCAGATGGCATTGATCTGAACTTTAGGGTCTGAATGACGTGCCTCTCGGGCTCCAATTTTTAATCCTAAGGAAGTCACTATTTTATCGATTTTGTCTTTGTCCCTACAGCAAACATACAAGATTGGGGGGGGGGAGGTCACACACAGATACAAAGGAGCCATGAGGAACAGGAATTCAACATTATTTAACACATTTACTCCTAGTGAATTGCTTTTTCTACAAAAAACTAGAAAGGGCTCGCACCACAGGAGGGCAGTGCTCAACCTCTATGCTAATACTTTCACATCAACCTGTTGTAAAATTCCCCATGAGGTTCCTTCCCAGTCTGTCCCCTTAAACAAGCTATGTCAACTGGTGAAGCAATGTTACAAATAAATGTTAAAATATCATTTTTCCAACCCAAAATCACTTAGCAAATTTACTAAATAAAGCAAACTTTCTTTTCCACTAGTGCCCGGTAAGCCTTACCCCAAGCTCCCCATTAATGATCCCAGAAACCAAGCACCTTTTGCACTACGATTACTATTTTATTTTCAAGTGGCTTTGTAAAAACAATGGTCCAATGTTTTTTCCATCCTTCTATCTCTTCACCTCGACACGCTATAAAACATTGCCGTCTGTGCCTTCTGTTTACTTGGGTTACACACACTCTTAAATGGTTTCCAAGCCCTGTAATCAGTTCCTCTGTAAAGGCTCTGTTCCCCTTCTCAGCCTATCTCAGCTTTCTTTACTGCGACTCATCAAACTGGAAAGTGAAGCAAATTCTACTGCAAGACGAACAATTTTATAACCACCTTACTTTTTCAAGACAGCATCATACAAACTCCATATATTTTCCAGGATCAACTGTACAAATAATGGTTTCTTTCCTTTTGCCTATAAACAAAAATACACGTGCTTAAGTTTCTCAATATTTAACAGGTAACTTACATATTCATTCTCGAAGTGTTTTATTATCAATATGTATCATTTCTCCTAGAAAATACTTATTCAAGAGTAAAGTGAGGGGAAGTAGTTGTAAGAATGCTCTCAACAGCCAATAATCTTCAATCAGTAATTATCCACCACTCTCTTCTCCTGGGAACCATGGACTTCACAAGCGACGGGACCTTCTGAGGGACGCAGCCCTGCGGACACGGCGACCACGCCCGCCCGGAGAGCTACACCCCACGCGGCGGAGCGGGCCTCCCCGCCGACCTTGTTCTCAAGAATGTTCTTGACATGTTAAGTTCAACTTCAAGAGAGAGGATATTAAAATATCACGAAAACCTACCGTTTCTCTTATCAAACTATGCAAAATACGAGCAAGAGCACTTTGAGATGGACTCTCACATACACTCTAGATGGAACATGCACCGACACCTCCACTCTGAAGAGCGACTAGCAAGGCATTAGGGAATGAGACTAGCAAGGCATTAGGGAATGAAGTCAGTACCCTCGAATGCGTGATTAAAAAAAGGTCATAAATAAAAATTTATGCACAGAATATCTATCATAGCTTTACTTATATCAAAACATTAGAAAAACAAATAAAAACTATGTGCAATCTTAGGAAAATGATTATGTAAATGATGATGCATTCACAAAATAAAATAATGACAGCATAGTTACTGTGGCAGGAACTATTCTAAAGACTTGTCTTGGGTGAGCCCATGTGATCTTGGGTGATCATGTGATCACAACCACCCTATAAGGTAAGTACCACTACCTCCAATTCACAGGTAAAAAACTGAGACGAAGGTCACAGAGCTAGCATACAGCCAGACGCTCAACCCTGAGCTTTCCACTCCACTATACCGGCTCCTTCTTAAGCACAGTTTATAAAAGCTTTAACAGCAGGGAAGACGTTCACCATGTTGTGTGAGGCAAAAAAGCAGCTATGTAGAATCTGGAATACTGTATAAACTGAACACAGTACGATCTCAACGGAGGGACCCATGTGCCTGTCCAGAAAGAATGAAAGAAATTAAAACCATAGATAGCATTAGCTAAGTGGGCTTCTCATGTTTTTCTTTCCCGTGGCTTTGTATTTATGAGTACTTTCTGAAAGGAATATATGCTCTTCAGTGAGAATAAATTTCCAAATTCCTGAATTTCACACAGAAAAAAAAAAAAAACAAGAAAAATATCCTTTGAGGCTATGTGGCTCAGCAGTCCTACATCACTCTCTCCCCGGGAGGAAGGGTTCAGGTGAGCACGTGTGCCTCCCCGTGAGCACTGCACGCTGCCCAGTGTTCCCCGGGAGGTCTTGGCTGAGACCAGGAATGGAGTGTGGGCCACACAGTGACACGTAAGACACTTCTCTTTGCAGTGAAGGTGTAATGCAAAAGCATGATGCAAAATGTGTCTTCAACTACTCAGTAATCAGATTTTTTGCTCCCCTTCAAAAATAAAACAGGACAAAAAAAACAGTTCTTTGATCCCTATATTCAAAGGACTCTATTTAAGCAACACCTGGATATAAGACTCATGAGCTTTAAAATATTTAATATATTTAATAAAAATATATTCAGTAAAAAAATTTGTTATGAATTAACCCACATACACCAAAGCCAAATTACATCTATTAAAGGTGATACAGGACAGGTTTTCACATGACAAGAATGTGACCAACAATCGAAGGGGCATATGCCACATTACCTGGTCGGCCTTCATAATCTTCTTGGCCTTCATATTTATATAATAATCTCCCCACAAGGTTTTCAAAAGAAGTTCCTTTCTGATGCCAATTTTTTTACTGTAGATTTTGGCAAAATGCTCAATTCTGGAAGAAAAAGCAAGTGTTCATGTTGACAACAGTAAGTATGACTATAGCCAAACTTGAATGTTTCTACACTGTTCCAAGTGCTTCCAATGTACTAATAAACATAATCATTCCAACGAGCCTACAAAGTAGATGCTAATTATCTACCCCATTTTACAGAAGAGAATAATGAAGCACAGAGATACTATACAGGTAATAAGTGAAGTTGGGACTCACACCCAAGCAGCCTGGCTCCAGAGCCAATGTCCTTGTCCCACTCTCTTGACAGTCCTAGGAATTAGAATTCATGCTTTAGCTCCTTTTTAAAATTCTGCACATGTAAAACAAGGTCACAGGGACCATCCCGGCTCCTGCTGCCCATTACAATGCCAGCGATAACTGTGTTTCAGCCCTTCACTACTATAGGTGCCTGTGTGCACAAAGAAAACAAAGTCTAGAGCCAGAATCTGCCAAAAAGGCTTTTTAGCATTCTGGATTAAAAAGGAAACATACACCCAGGTACTAAACTCTCTTGACCCTTAGAGAAACCAGTTAGCAGCAGGTCTGCTCCATAGCAAACCCCAGCCACGTGAGAGCAGCCACTTGACCACAAGGGTTCTGTTCGCAGTCCCTGCACCGTCTGCATAAGGGCCCTAGACAATAACTTTTCTGCAGGAACAGTATATATTTAAAGTTTGAGTCCAATTCTTAAAAGTACCAGCATCTTAAAGAATGCCTGCTCTTTTCTCCACTGCAGAAGGCATCCAAGCTAACATTCTAGACAATTCCTAATGTCAGTCAGCAACTGTTGCATCGCTAGAATCCAGGGGTTAACATCACAGAGTCCAATTCACTGATATTCTCATGATAATGGAAGCCTGGTAGGGGCGGTAAGAAGCTGGAGGAGTGGAAGCTGACAATGACGGCCAGAGCCAGGAGTGAAGAGCATCGGGCAGCAGCTAACTAGCAAAAGCAGACACTGCAGAAACTGCTGAATACCCAGTGTCCTCTCTCCGAGGGCCAAAGAGAAGAAAATACCCAGCCAAGAAACACAATTCGAATTAAACAGTTACAGGCTGCTGACATTCTGCAGTTGGCCTCAAGGGTACATTACTTCTAAAGTAATTAGTGCTTGTAAACTTTATTTCCCATTTGATTCAACAGTTATTTATTTAGTTGAGGTTTTAATTTTCCAAATGTTAGCTTCTATTCTATTTTATTTATATTCATTATGTATAAATAAGTCATATGCATAAACTATGCTGTTATTACTATATTATTAATTTATAGTTTTTTTGGTCTTCCTGCAGGAGGAACCCTTCTTCTCCCCATGAATCCTTACCTCACTGCACAGACTAGGGCTTCCCTCGTGCGTGGGGCCGGAGGAGCACGCAGCTCTCTTCCATTTCAGTCACAACCCCGCAAGTGGGGAGAAGGTCAGTGGCTGGCCTTCATCAGGCGGAGGGCCTATGCCTCAAAATCAAACAGGCTCTGGCTTGCAGCCTCCCCAGGGCTCAGGGCCCAGGGCCAGGCCTCCTCCCTAGATTCCTGTGGTCAAGCACACTGAGAGCAGGCCACAGAACCTTCCTTCCAGACCCTTCTCTCCCTGCAGCTTTCCACGGTCACCACCCAGTCTCGCCAGGTGGGCTGCAGTCCTCTGCACAGACGCGCAGCCCCACGCCAGGACCCACAGGAGGCCGCCAAGAGGAAGCAGCTGCTGCGGCCTGAGTTCCCCAGCTCACTTCACCAGGGCGCTCTGTGCTTCACAGCGACGCTTGCTGGGGCCTCCGCGATCAAGCTGACACTGACCCTCGCCTTGGCAACTTGGGTCTGTTCTTGGATGGTCAAAACTACAGATGATGACTAAGTGATTAGCACATCAAACTTTCAATATTTTCATATTTTTTGAACTTGCACTGTGTTTCTGCTTGATACACAACCAATTTTTTTATATCCTTTATTGACACTTAAATCCTGACTTTAGTTATTACACTATTCATATGGGTCACGTTTCTGTCTAATTCACCTGTTACCAAACGTGATATGATAAAATCTGCCCCACCCATACGCCTGTAGATTTCTGCTTCTGTTTTGTCTCATGTACTTTGTTATGATAGTTGACACATCCAGTTAATCTCTTCACTACAGGAATGTATCAGTTACCCTTCTGCCATAATACACTGGCCATAAATTCTGCTTTATCATTAATATTGCCAAACCCCCTTTCTGTTCACATTTGAATGACATATTGAGCCAAACCTTGATGTTTAGCCTCTGTCCATTTGCTTTATATTTATCTATTTCATGTAGCAAACCTCTGGATATTTTTAATGAAGTTTCCTTCTTTAAAAAAAAACTATCTCAACTGGGGGATTTCATATATTTACTGTCATAACTGTTCCGATCCGATGGATTTCTAGTATGATTTCTGTTTATATTTCTAGGATTCTTTTTAAATGTTGATTTATGCTACCTACACTGCTATATTCCCTTTTATTTTTTACAACAGATTCTCAGATAAATTTCCTGGTTTTAATTCAAAAAGTGGCAAACATAAAAATTCTCACACACACCCTAAAATCTCTCTCAAAATCATAAATGATAGTAAGAAACTCACCCACTTGCTTAGGCCACCCTTAGCCCATCATATTTACACATACAGATCTCTCAAAATCTTATTTTTTATCCTTTTCATTTCAATCCTGTAAACATTTGCTCATCAACATCCACACTTCCCCATCATTGCTCAGCGCTCTTAGTCATTGATCTGTCATTAGCTATAATTTTAAAACAGTTTCTACCACACTTCTCCACTCTTGAATTCTATCTTGATTAATTTCTTCTACAGAAACTTCGAACAAGATTCTGCAGAACATGTTTTCCAAGACTTCACGGACCTGTTGCCTTTGGCCTGGTCTCATGTGAAGTGACCAGGCCACACACCCTCAGGCGCCCATGCCCCCCCAGGGGAACGTTATCAGCTGCGGGACTCTGGGACACTGGCGGGTACACACAAATAAATCTATCAGGCAGGGCCTCTCGCTGTCTCTTCTTTCCTATCCCTGCTTTACAGGGCTGGGCCTCAGCTCTGCTTCCCTGCAAAAGGACCTAGGTTCCTGCTGCCAGCTACCCAGGTCAACGTGCGGCTGCTGCACGTCCAGAGCAGACTCTCCCGGGTTACCCCCACCTATGAGCGGACGCAGCCCGTACCCCATGTACAGCCCCTGGTCACACTTCTCAATCCCATCCCACTGAATGAGATTTCATAAACCAGCTTCCAAATTCTAAAACTGTGCTCAATTCCTACCTTTTTTTGACACATTAAGTTGCCAAGTTTTTCCTACTCACTGACATTTTAAAGGAAAATTGGCAGGAGAGGGTCTCCAGTGCTTCCATTTCCACCATTTTCCCGTAACTTAACACATCCATCTGTTGAGAACAGGCACTAGCAGATCTCTAATTACAGCCGTGTCTAATACAGGGGAATTCATTCCCTGACACAAAACATGTAAAAATGTCCGAATTGTGAGAGACACAGAAGTTGCCCTTATTCTGTTTAAGCCTCTCTCCATTCCTTCTCCTTCCACAATAAACTTCCCCCAACTGATGGGACTTAGACTAAAACTCCCATAAAACATTAAATTATTTATGAAAATCACTCCAAGAAAAAGGACAAGCCCCCCACCTTGTGGCTCACTAGGAAAATGCTTACAAATTAGGAAATCAACAGGTCTGACTGAATTACTATACTTCTTCAGCTCAAAGAAACTCTTGGAAATTATCTTAGCCTAATATTCTTGTTTTTCAGAAGAGGAAACTGAGGCCCAGAAAGGTGATAAGGACAACTCATCGACTACATATTAAAGGTACCAGTCTTTAGCAGGTTTGTGATTTCCATTTTCTTTATATATCCATTATCTAAATTCATTCAATTCTGGTATGACCTTTATAGGCACCGAGTGGACTAAGGTATCCATACCTGATCACAAACTAACATAGAAAAATTACGGTACTATGATGTATTATACTGCCCAAGGCAAAGCGTGTTCAGTCAAAAGGAAGTCAAAGAGCACGCTCCTGCCAACAGGACAAGAGCCAGGAAGGGCCAGGCCCCTCCCAGGCAGTGCACCCCCATCAATTTCTGATTCTTTCTTCTTCCGATTTCCAGGTCTTACTGACATGTTTCATAAGTAGCCTTTGTTTTCATCTGGCACATTATTTCTATTTTTCTTATTCCTGCAAATTTATATGCAAGATTAAGCCCATAACTGAAGTTAATTTCATTATAGTCCCATAAATGTTGATGCAAGCTGAAGACATTTTTCTCAATAATCCTTTAATTACATTTGAATTTTCTAATTCCACAAGTCAATAGTGGCTGTGGTTAAGAAATGTGATTTACTGCCTAGCACACTCCAAAATCTAATGTCACTTTTACATGGCCCCATCATATACATTTCCAGGAGGGCAATTAGAAGAAACAGGGCCCCTATATTCCACATGAAGATCCCACAGAGGCACCATGGTAAGAAAGCATGAACTTCAGTGTCAGGCCGACTTTAAACTCAGTGTAAGCTCTGCCACTTAGTGACTAAGTCATGGTAAACAAATTGTTCAAAGTCGTTGAGCCTCAGATAATAACTGCTAGTATAGATAACAAAAGTTGATATAAATGTATTTGCTCATATATACATAAATACCCTGCAGAGGTTACACAAAAAACTGCCAGGACACACCATTTCCTGTGGAAAAATGAAATGAAAAGCTGAGAGAGGGTGTGGGAGACTTTTCATGGCATGCATTTTTATACCTTTTGAATTTTGAATTTATCTAAAAAATAAAGTTTTAAAAAAATCAGTTGTATATAAAATCTATAAGGAGATGCAAGATTGGTTCAATATTCAAAAATCAATCTAAACCACTATTTTAACAAGTTAAAAAATCATATTAATTGATCGAGAAAAAACATTTGACAAAATTTAACACCCATTTATAATAATGACTCTCAGGAAAAAAGGAATAAAAAGGAACTTCCTCAACTTGACAAAAACATTTAAAAACAACCTCCAGTCAACATTATACCTAATGGTGAAAAACTGAATGCTTTCTCCTTAAAACTGAGAATGAGGCAAGCATGTCCACCCTCCCTACTCTTTCATCAAATAGTGCTGTAAGTTCTTGCCAGTGCAATAAGGCAAGAAAAGAAAATGCCACAGGAAAGGAAGAAATAAAACAGTCCCTATTTGCAGATGACCTAACTGTCTTGTAGAAAATACCAAGGAATCTACAGAGCTCTTAGAGCTACTAAGTGAGTTTAGGAAGGTCACCATATACAAGATCAACATACAAAAAATCAATTAATTTTATTTCTATGTAGTAGGAATGAATGAATATCTGAACACCAAAATTTAAAATACAGCACCATTTATAAGTGCTCAAAAAAAAAGATAAATTAGGTGCACATCTAATACAATATGTACAGGACTTACATGTTGAAAACTACAAAATGCTGATGAAGGAAATCAAAGACAATCAAAATAAAATAAACATGTAGTATTCAACATAGTAACATTTACTGAACATAGTAAATGAAGAAATATTTACTCAACATAGTAAAGAAGCCAAGTCTCTTCAAACTGATATACAAGTTTCCCATGTATTTTCCATTAAAATCCTGGCAAAATTTTTTGCAGCTACTGACAAAGATTATCATAAAACATATATGGAAAAGCATAAACTCTTAAACAGTTAAAACAAATTTGAAACAGAAGAATGTAGATGTAAACTATCTGACTTCAAGACTTAAACACTTACAGTAATGAAAGCTCTGTGGTACTGGTGGACAGACAGACACACAGATCAATGAAAGAGACCCATGTGAACATGTCCAGATGATTCTGACAAAGGTGCAAAAAGCCAATACAGGCGATACAGCCTTGTCAATAAATGGTGCTGGGTAACTGCACACCAATAGCGAAACAAAACAAAAAAACCTTGACCCAGTTTTCACATCTCATACAGAAAATTAACTCGAAATGGACCACACATGTAAATGTAAAAAGTGAAACTATGAAACTTTGAGAAAACCTTCAGGTTCTAGGACTAGGAAGACTTCTCAAATTGCACTCAAAAAACCTAATTCATAAAAGGAAAAAATTGATAAAATGAACTTGCACCCAAATAAAAAACCTTGCTCTGTGAAAGACACTGTTAAGAGGATGAAAAGCCAAACTACAGACTAGGAGAAAATATTTACAAAGCACCTAGGAGACAAAGGACTAGTATACAGAATATATAAAGAACTCTTAAAACTCAACAGTAAAAAAAGAAACAATACAATTAGAAAATGGACAAAGGACTACATAGCAAAGAAGATAATCAACAAAATGAAAAGGCAATCTATTGAATGTGAGAAAATATTTGCATATCATGTTTCTGATAAGGGGTTAATACCCAAAATAGATAAAGAAATCATACAGCTCAACAGAAAAAAAAATAATCCAATTTAAAAATGGGCAGAGGACCTGAACATTTCCCAAGGAAGACATACAGATGGCCAACCGATGCAGGAAAAGATGCTCCACATCACTAATCAACAGGGAAACACAAATCAAAACCACAATGAGATACCACATCACAGATGTCAGAATGGCTATTACCAAAAAAAATACAAGTGTTGGTGAGAAAGTGGAGAAAAGAAAACTCTCCCACACTGCTGACGGGAATATATGGAGCAGTCACTACTGAAAGCAGTATGGAGCTTCCTCAAAAAATTAAAGACAGAACTACCATATGATCCAGCAAATCTACCTCTGGGTTATTTATTGAAAAAAAAACAAAAACACTAATTTGAAAAGATGTATGTGCTCCCATGTTCACTGCTGCATTATTTACAATAGCGAGGATATGGAAATGGCCTGTGTCCACTGACAGATGGACTGATAAAGAAGATGGTGTGTGTGTGTGTGTGTGTGTGTGTGTGTGTGTGTGTGTGTGTAATAAAATTACTATTCAGACATAAAAAAAGAGAATGAAATCTTGCTATTTGTAGCAACATGGATAGATCTTGAGGGTATTACACTGAGAGTAAGTCAGACAAAGACAAATACCGTATAATCTCGATTATATGTGGAATCTGAAAAAAAAAAACCCAAACAAACCAGCTCAGAGACACAGAGAACAGACTGGTGCCACAGGTGGGTACAGAGGGGGCAAGATGGAGGAAGGTGGTCAGAAAGTACAGACTTCCGGTTATAAAATAAGTCAGTCACGGGGATGTGACGTCAGCATGGAGACTACAGTTAAAGCTGTGCTGTATATTTGAAAGTCGCTAAGAGTAAATCTTAGAAGTCCTCATCATAAGAAAAAAAGGTTTCTTTGTAACTATGTAAGGTGACACATGTTAATTAGACATACCATGGTGATATTTTGTAATATGTATATATAAACACAAATATCAAATCCGTATGGTGTACACTTCAACTAATGCCACTTATATCTCAATTTAAAAAGAAAACAAAGGATATGAAAAGACATATCAGCCAAGGACACACAGATGACAAATCAAAACACGAAAATATGTTCAACATCACTAGCAGTTAGGAAAGTGCAAATTTAAATCACAATAACCTACTAGTACAAACCCATCAGAATGACTAAAAAAATAAAAATAAAAATAAACAGTGACACCACCAAATGATGGTGAAGAGGTGGAGAAACTGGAGCCTCATACATTGCTGGTAGTGATGTAAAATGGTATCTGCTCTGGAAAACAGCTGGACAGTTTCTTCAAAAACTAAAATTACAACTACCATATAATACAGCAAAGGTACTCCCAGGCATTTATCCCAGAGAAATGAAAATACATTCACATGAAAACATATATATGAATGTTTATAGCAGCTTTACTCATAATAGCCAAAAACTGGAAAAACCCAGAGGTCCTTCAATGGGTGAATAAACTGTGGTACATCCACACCATGGACTACTACTAAGCAATAAAAAGGAAACAACTACTAATGCATGTAACTTAGATTACGTCTCTAAAGAACTATGCTGGATGAGAAAGGCTAGTCCAGAAAAGGTTACACCCTGTTTGATTCCACTTCTCTAACATTCTTGAAATAACAAATCAGAAACGGAGAACAGTTAGTTGCTGCCAGGGGTTAAGGAGGGTTGGGGATGGGAAGGAAGTAGGTGTGGCCGTATTAGGGCAACATAAGGTCTCTGGTGATGGACCTATATCAACGTCACATCCGCTGTGATATATTGCATTATAATTCTACAAGACGTTACTGCTGGGGGATCCTGGGTGAAGTTTACAAGCAAATGCTCTCTATTCCATCTTAGAATTGTATGTGAACTGACAATGATCTCAAAATAAAAAACTTAATTAAAAATATCAACTGGATATGAAATCCACAGAGATTTAATTAGACTCAAACAGACTTACCCAAAGCCCCAGCCGTCTATGGCACTCGTAAACACCACATTTCCCTGATCTGGAGAGAAGTAGAGGTGGGAATCGTCCGTCCCCTCTAGGCCAGCACTCCAGTCGTACACTTGCTCTCCCTGCTCGGCATTTGGATTCACCTGGGATTCAGTCTCCCTCTCTGCTCTTTCTTCTAGGACTTTAGAAGTAAAAAGAGTTCCTGTGAGTGCGTTAATCTAGGAGAGATGGTGAGATGGTAGACTGTCATTCAGATGCTCAGCACAGACATGATGGGAGACACTGCCCAACCCTCATTAAGCCCAGAATCAGCAGTCAGTTTGGGCTCATATTAAGGTCACACATAGGGGGTTGGCATTTATAACAGTAATTAACTTACAGGTTGTCAATCCATTCTTTCTAAACCCAGCAAAACTAAACTATAAAGCTTTTGGAAGGCCATTTGTGATCATTAATTTAAAGCAAACATTAACTTGCCACATCTTTAACTTGTTTTCCACTACAAGGGCCCGGTGTCACTAGGAATTCATGGCTTCCAACCCCGGAAATCCTAGTTCGTAACCTTGATCAACTTCCCTTGCCACTCGGCACATCAGCTGTTGGAACTTCTCAGCACTTGCCTCGGGCCCTCCTCCCAGCCCCTAACCCCCAACTATTTTCAATCCCAGGTAAGTGTTCTTATTTCCTAACTCTGAGAGAAAATGGAACCTACTCTTCAGATATCGTGCAAGCTCCCCATGCTCCAACCTGTAAGCCATTTGTATCTGCAGACACTGCTGGGTCTTCTCCTTCCCCTGCAGGGCAGGGCATTTTACCCACGCCCACTGGTCTGTCTCTGAAGGGCACTACATCCGGTGCTCCACCTTTGACACTGCACTGCCTTTACCATTTCCTCCCCTTAGTGAATAAATATTCTCCAGTTGGTCTCATCACTGGTGCTCCACTGTCTTCAAGATGACAGGTCAGGCCTGCATGCACGGCATATGAGGTTCACATAATCCAAGCCCTGTATCCCTTCTACTCCCGCCTCTCGTCGCTGCTTAGCACGACCTCGTTCTTCAGCAACAACAAACATTTCCTGTTCTCTGAAGGACACATAGCGTACTTTGTCCTGCTTTCATGACTTGTATGTGTCTTCCCCCTTTCCACTTGAATGACCTGGCCATGATTCCCACCCGGCAAACACTAGCTTCCTTCCACTCCAAGGTTTCTGCTGCTGGACTTCTCCTCCCTGGCTCTCCCTACCAGCCCAGCCTGGGTGACGTGGCCTCCCTTGTGCTCTCAAGTCATGGGCAGGGCGTAGCTCACTGTCTTCCAAATGTCTCTTTTAACCATTTGTCTCTCCTACCACACTAACATCTTTGAAAATAAGGACTCTGGTCTGTCTTTTTATTCATGACCCTAGCACACAATGGACATCCAAGAATCCATTCATTATGTAGCCATGCAAATACTTTGTTGAATAAATAAATGAATGGACACTTAGGTGGAATTTTATCTAAAGACAGGTACTGAAAACCAAGTGCCTTATTGCTTCACTTTGGAACAAAACTACAAGGTTTTAAACAAGGGAGTGTTAAAACCTGTCACCTAAGCTCTTTATACAAGGATGATTCTAGAAGATGGAGGGGACCCTAAGATGCCTGTCGTATCTGTTGTGGTATGACAATTCCAACACATAGGACTCTCAGCAGAAAGGTTCTGAATAGGTGAATTTTCTGTAGCAATGCCTCATACTTAACTTCTTCACACTCTTCTTTGAACCCCAATTTTTAAAATTCTGGAGTAAAGGGTAAAATACCTGTTCCAAAATATTCTTGAGGTGAGAATAGGCTTCCTGTGGGGTGAATTTCAGTTCCACTATCAAGCGATCTATCTTATTAATCACTAAAACTGGACGGATGTTTTCGAGCCAGGCCTGCCGCAGAACTGCCTGTGTCTGATGAGAACAGAAAAGAAAGTGTAAAGTCATGAGCTGAACAATTAAAGCATATCAGAGAAGCCTGATTAGTGACAGCTCACTCCCACACCCCTTACCACAGCTCAGGTGATGCCAGCAGGCACAGGTGCCCGCCTGACAGCCACAAAGTGCGTAACAGGGGCAAAGAATTACAGACAAGAATCATCCTGCCTCTAGGGAACTGACAGTTTACTCAAGGATAAATGAAACTGTGAGGAAGTTAGTGAAGAGTTGGGCAGAATTACACACACACTCAGTTAGAAACAAACTTGTTTCCAACACACAAGCCAGAAAACAGGACATGCCGCCAGGAGCCCCCGGGGCCACCTTTCCGCTCACCCTCCCGTCTCCGAGTTAACCACTATCGTCCGTGCTGAAGCCAGGTGCGCTGTTTTCAGACCCTGTCAGGATACCTAAGACACTACGAGACTGACACTGCCCTCGGGGGGAATCAAGAGGGGGACCGGCAGGATAATTATGGCATTATCTTCCTGAAATTAGCAAACTTCCTGAGTAATTTAAACGTTTTACTCATTTTTAAAAACATTAAAACAAACAGAGTGTATTAATAAGAATAAAGTCTCAAAAAAATTGTTTACAAGAACTGAGCTTAGAGAGCCTCTCTGAGCTCCAGCCTGCCCCACAGCTATCTGCTCACCCTCTTCCTAGAGGTGAACTTTTTGAACTTTGGTGAAAAAGATGACACACACCAGACGAACGGTGTGGAAGGACGAGCCGGGAGAGGAGTGTGCACAGGCGGCCGAGGCATGACGGTGGCCGAGGAGGCGGCAGAGGAGGAGGGCTCTTCCCCGGGGGGACCAGCTCGGCAGCTCGCTGCCCACTGCAAGCCTCTCACTACCAGAAACCTACTCCACGGGCATTCAAACCTCCAGATCCTGCCCAAAGTCAACAGCTCCCACTTCTGCTGAGCTCCTCCCTAGGAGGGGTCCACAAACACTGCCCTGAAGCTCAAGTCCTCCTCTCCAAGACCCCTTCCAAACTCGGGCGAGAACTCCAGCACAGACCGGGACGCTGCCGAATGAGATACGAAACCAACTTTCTGACTGTCGCTGGACTTCAGTTAGTGTTTCCACATTACGGTCCTCTACCTGTGGACAGACCCCTTCCACGGCATCCACCACGATGATGCAGCCGTCACAAATGCGAACAGCCGTGGACACTTCCGAGGAGAAATCCACATGTCCCGGAGAGTCTATCAGATTGACCAGGTACTCCTCGCTACCTGAAATCAAGGTGGAAAGCAGACATTTTCAGTGCATAGGGGGCAATACTCTTCATCACAAATTCTAGAATGAGAAAGCATCTATGCAATGACTGAATAAAGCTAAGAAGCCAAAGGCTCAGTCAACAGCAGCACTCCAATTTAGGAATTCCCACTGATGGAACTCGATTTCCAGTGGCATCTATAAAAAAATGTTGAAGGACGTCATTATTCCAGTCGTCACCTCTTCCTCAGGGCGCCGTGAGCCAGGCACTCGCGACACGCCAACCTCGCACTGCCAGGTCCTCACAACGCATGTGCGAAGTGACCACCACCAGATCCATTTCACAGATGAGGGCGTTGAGACTGAGTGAACGCTGTTCAAAGGGACCCAGCAGGAAATAACCAATTTGAAGACACAAAGAAGCTGGCCAACTACCCCCATCACTTCTCAAAGAGCAGCATGTACATCTGCTCAGCCAAGCTTCAGACTCGATTCTCCAGCACTCGGAGGGGCACTTAGTATATGCCAGGCAGCGTGACACGTGCTCTCATGTATTATCTCCCGTGACCTTTATGACGAAAGTATCAAGCTTGCAGCAGGGCGATGACCCTGCTGACCTGTGCTGCTCCCGCTCTGAAGGTCTCCCGACCCAGCATCCCTGTCAGGCCCACATCCGTTCGCCCCTGTATCAGGCCCAGGCAAGTGAGAACTGGCCACCCTGGCTTACAGAGATGTAACAATACAACATAGCTGAGTGAACAGTGCAAAGAAACAGCAATTCATTAGAATTCTATACTCATTTGCTACTAAACTTGATGTAACTCCCTTTTAAAGGCAAAATAGTTATTTGAATGCCTAACAACCACAGGGCTGACTGTTATGATTTATGGGCCATTCATAGCATTTTCCCCAGAATATAACTTGCTAATAAATGACCTTCCCAATTTGGAACAGTCCTGAAGCGGTGAATTAGACTAGTTCCTGCTATAGCCTTATTGCTGTATTTCCTGGGCATTCCAGTTACGTATCTTCATTTCAGGGGACTGACCTAATAAGCTGAGAACCAACCCAGCTTTTTTGTTGTTGTTGCAGGTAACTGGGAAAAAATAAAGTTGGAAGACCTCAAGTTAATTCTAAGAGGTAACTTGGTGACAGGGCACTATGAGAGGAGTCTCTCCCTTGCCCACAGAGCCTTCGGGTTCAAAGTGCCACAAAAGTTGTTTCGGTGAAGGTGCAGAGCCGTCACCGCAACCCCAAACATCTCCCCTGGGAACAGCCTGACTTCATGTGACAGATCACGTCTGACTTTCAAAACACTGGAGACGTTCACTAAAGCACACAGAAGGTTGGTGAGAATTTTCCTTAAAACAAAGAGAAACACTCAAGTTATGGATGAAGATCTGAGTTCATACAAGTATCTTTTATGTTACAGTGTATTAGAAGATGAGATCTAAGAACAAAAATATCAGAAATACAGGCATTAGTATGCCTTTGTCTAAGTCCCTGCAGGGGTACGTGGAGCTAAAAGGAGGAGATGTATACAGAGAGAGAGAGAGAAAGAGAGAGAGAGAGAGAGAGAGAGAGAGAGAGAGAGAGAGAGTGTGTGTGTGTGTGTGTGTGTGTTTTGAGGAGGTTCACATAAGAGTGAGGGAGCAGTGATCTATGATCTAGAAACAACTGAACAGCAGACACATTTTCTCACTACATGAACCCATCCAGAGGCCTCCCAGAGCTTCCTCCACAGACAGGCCGGACCACGTGCGGGCTGCTGTGACCAAGCTTCACCCCACTCCCTTTGGCTTCTCTCCGTGGTCTAGATGCCAGTCTATACCCGCCACCCCATCTGTGGCCGCGCCCTGAACTCAGACTCACTGAGAACGTCTCCACCTTCGAAATCCTGCTGCTCAGGTAGTGGACCGAGTAGTTCCAAGGCCACGTTCTCGATTCTTCGACTCACTAGCATTTTTGCTTGGAAGGATGTAACAACCAGCACCAGAATAAGAAACCCTAGAGTAAAGCACAGGCTGATGTTCGCTTCTTGGAACCCATATAAGGGTTCCGAGGCTTTGCAAGCTGCCTGGAATCTCTGGATGCTTACTCCACCCTGGCGGGGAACTCAGAGATCAAGGACCTCTATCTTTCCCACAATTTCACATTACCTAACATGTGCCATCACTGTAAGGAGTAGGTCCTCCTGTCAGAACTGAAGGAGTGACAGCAGCGTGCCTTTGTCTAAGTCCTGCAGGGGGACGTGGAACTAAAAGAGGGAGACACATTTATATACCTTAAAGACAGACCTGAGCGTGCTTAAAAACTGATGGTTAGGCACATTAGGACAAAGGGAAGGGAGAGACTGAAGAAACAGGAGAGAAAATAGGGGAGAAGTCCAGAGCACAGGCCTTTCACAATGACAGGAGGCAAGCAAAGATACTAATACCATTAGGTTTTGAGGGGTGGTGGCAAGCAGTTGAGAGAATTCTTCCATTTCCTGTGAAACAGAAGGTAAAGATTTCTACTGAGGCTGAGGGGAGGGGATGAGGGGTGGGCAAATGCCGTTGGAAGGCACTGAGCGTCACCCAAGCAAGGAGCTCGAGAGGCCTGCCAGCCGTCCCGAGGGGAAGCCAGACCCGCTCAGGCACATGAAGGCGAAGCAGACAGTCGGCCTACGGAGGACCAGAGCTTTCCCGGGAGGAGCATGTCAGAAGGTCAAGGAAACAGAGACTGAGGACCGAGCACACTGCCAGTGACACGACACATCTGGGCTCTACACGGGGATGAATGGAGGACGCTGAGGGGCACACGAGACTGAGGGGCTTTACGAGGTCAGAGTGGGTCCTCCGTACAAGGGGAGGGAGCTGGGACACTGTGCAAAGGGAGGGTTTAAACTGGAAATGTCCAAGGGGACAGGTCCCAGTGACTCTAAGATCCAGAAGGCAGCCAGGACAGTGGGGTGGAGCAGAGATCAAAGCACTCGGCTGTGAGACAGTCACTCTCAGGGTGGTAAAAGTGACCTCAGTGGGTACGGGTAAGAAGGGAAATTAGGAGCCAGGTGCCAAAGTCCTACTGAACAGGGACTGTGGCCAGGAGCTGACAGCTGAGGGGAATAACTGGACACTGTGAGTGTCAAAAGAGATGGAGCTTTAAAACAAGGGTGGAAGAATTAAGCTTTGAGCCAGAACCAGGACACCAGGAGGATGGAACACCATGCCCCAACCCGGGAGAAGATGAAGCAGGCACGAACGGGTGGCATTCGCCTCAAGTTCAAGGAAGGCAGCGTCCTCGGAAACAGTCAGGCAGGAGAAGGAGAACATCAACAGAAGGACACTGGGAATACAGGGATGTTTGGAATGTCTGCGGATAAGTTTTGGGAAGAAAGGGAATGGGGGAAGTTGAGGGAGGGTGTTAGAATCTGAAACATGGGTCAGAGATGACTAGAAAGGTCACATCCGGTGGCAAGGAGATCAGGGATGTGGGTAATGCTGGCCACGAGATGTCCCTAAGGAGTCCCAGCCATCCCTGGTGGATGGGGC